TGGAGGGCCACCTAGCATCTAGCGCAGCTGCTTTGCTGAGGCCAGCCCTCCAGCCTGTGCCAGGGTGTGCTAGGGAGGTCCAGCTCCGAGGAAACCTGTCAGAGAACATGTATCAAGGTGTTTACCCACTTAATGCTCTACACTTTGCATTCCATTAGCGTTTACAAGTGCGCTAGTCAACCACCATGCGCTAGCTACCCTTATGTAGTAGCGCAGCAGGCTGTAGTCATATGAAATATGGAGCCTTTTGTTGGTGCCTGGCAGCAGTTTCACTGTATTTAATCATCAGGAAGCCCTTTAAGGTTGTTTTCATTTACAGAAGGCTTCCATTTGTTTGAAAGACTTTGAAAAAAGACTCCTGATGACTGATAGCCTTTTTCTGCACTCTTTTCTATTATCTTAAACCATAAATGGAAGAGGGGAAAAGCAGTTTTCGTGTATCTTCATGCCGGTGTGATGTTTGAAGCTGAAAAGCAGGTGTCCTCTTTAAAGTCCTCATGAATCAGTTCTAAGTGGGCCCTTTTGAGATTTTGTGAATAGATGTGGCTAAGCTGAAATCACAGCTTTGGCTAGTTTGCGCTGATAATTCGGTCACATGCTGTTCCACAGCTGCACTGTATCGTTAAGGAAGCTGCGAAGGCAAAAAAAAAACGTGGACACTACTTTTCTCACGCTCTTCTTGTCAGCCCTTGCCAGTTGGCCGTGGGTCTAAGTCCTAAGGGTTGTGACTGCCATAGAAGGGTGTGTGTGGGAGAGAATAACAGAACAACACCAGAATGCAGCACAACAGTACACATCTGTCCAGTCATCATAGCACTCTGGGGACCGCTGGGTGAGTGTCTTTAGCAGACATGTGCTGGGATCTGGGTAAACTTGCTGAAGCCACCTAAATCCCATCTATTCCCCTCAGGCATCGATTGTTTGCGGACTTGCTCGGACACTGGGATTTGCTTCTAGCTCAGTAAACAACAGCTGGACAAACCGTAGAACAGTCGAAGGTTTCCAATGGGCTCAAATGACTCTAGCAAGCTCTGCGAGCCAATTATCCGTCTCCTTCGCTTTGCCTTTCCTACAGGGCAAACAGTTGGTATTGTTCAAAGGTGCAATCGGAAAGTAAACAGTGAGATTCCTGTGGCGAGGCATGCTCTCTGAGAGTGTGTGTATTTGTTTGCGCATCCTATCATTTTCTTTGTTAAGATAGGCCTAAGCCAGGATGTATGAACTGGAAGTGTCTATAGTTAGATAGACTAAGTCTAGATAGGGGCCAGATACTGTAAGTGTTCTCTTGCAACACAAAGCTTTTAGTGAGGCCTACAAAGGTCTACAAAGACAAACATACTTGTCCTGAGTTCAGAAATGTTGAGCCGTTTCGTGTTCTGTTCCTTATGGCAGATTGTTGAATGGGCCGGTTTCCCAGGCCTAGTTTAGGCCTAAACGTTGGCTAAATTGGATTATAATGGTCAAACACCATTGGCATTACAGTTCAGTCCAAGACTAAGCTTATTTATGTTCAGATGTCTAGCTTGTCTAGCTAGCTTTTAAATGGTTCTCTCAAATTCTTTTAGTCTGTTTATTGATCTATTACTTAACATTCATGTATTAACATTCTGTGCATGGTCTCAATGTTCTGATTAGCATTGGGATATGTGATGTGGCCTGCTGCACTACTGAAGCAGAACTAAACACAACAATACAAGCCGTTAGAAATGGATGAAAAGGTCATAAGCAGGTGGTGTTGTAGACCCTGCTGTGTACATAGCTCACTAAAACATTATCCAGATTTTATAAGGTGACATATTAAAGTATGTAAGGTTTTTATTCACTTTACTGTTGGGTGGACATCCCGGGAATGCTGGCGTGGTCGGTTGAACGTATGTACAGACAGAAAAATGAACGAACAAACAAATGACAGGCAGACAGATGAGCTAACTGGCTAGGTTAGCTTTCGCTTGGTTGTTAACTTTCACTCAGTAAACACAGAGACAGTAGGAGTCCACAATTTTGTTAAAGCTGTGTGGGCAGGACGTGCCACATCAACCCTGTGATTGGTGAGGGGACTTCCTTACATGAGTTCTACCTAAGACTAGGACTGCTTAGTTTACATCGAAAGTGAAGAAGTTTGACAAAATCTTTTAAAAATTGAGTGGACATTGGAAGGTTATTCACAGGACATTGTGAATGGATATTGTGTGTCCACATAAGCAAGATCAACCTACTTAGAGAGAAAATATGGATAAGCCTTAAAAATAACAATTCCTTAATGGTTCTTGGTTTGGACATAATGCTCTAAGAGAAATCCTTGTTGATTGTTGACCTCAATTCAGTAAACCCATCTTAGTGTCCTTAGCATATAACTTATCATGGCCATCAGATCTAAACCAACATTTACTCCATTTTCCATCAAATAAACCATGACCTGTAGTTTGAAGTCATGGAATGAGCACTAGGGCTTTCGCCTAGATGGTAGAGCGCTGGGCTTTTGGTGAGGACTCCATCCCAAGGGATAGTGAAGCAGGAGATGATCACACCGACGCTTCGCTGAGTGGCTCCACTCAAAAGAATTTTGCTAGTCAGCGCTTTCCTTTCAAAAAAGGCCCGGGATTGTTGGTTTAGGGTGCTCAGTCAGGGGAGAAAGGATTTGGGTGGGAGATCAAGTTATTTATTAGCTGGAGCCATTTAAATGGGGGCAGCGGCCATGATGGAGAGGCTGGGAAATGGGAACTGGCGGGCCAGGCCGACTGGAAATGCCCATCGTGGCACCCTGCCAGGCACGTATGCAAACATCAGAATGAAATTTGCGGTTCAGATGAGGTACAGCGTGTCGGGCAAAAGGTGGGCACCGTTTAACAGCCCACCTTTTATGTGTTATGTGTCGGTTCATTATTGTGTGAACAGAGGTAGTGCAGTTCTGGTGCTAAACTAACAAAAGAGTGTCAGAAATGCTTCACATTGTAAGATTAGCAAAATGTTAATACAAGGCATTATTTAAATATTAATACAGCTTTTTAATTGAATTTCAATTCTGTCCACAAATTCTCTGAACTCGTTTATTTCTTTACAAGCTGTTGTTTACATTGCATAAAGATTTCACGATGAATGAACCAACAAAAATGGTCCTAAATGATGTCTTGCCTTGTAAAATCTCCTCTTTATATCCTTTATATCTTGGAGATATAAAGTCTGGTTCTGAGGGTGATAATGTGTGGCTCTGAAATCTGTAAATTTGTTTAATGATTCTGATTCAACTTTTACAGATTATTTTCCAGTCCCTTTATGAAAGCTGTTAAAAATCTGTAATCTATATTGTACTGAGTAAAAAATATGAAAGCATTATTGGCTGTAGTTATATATACAATGGTATATTACTGTGGTACTATACTATACTGTCTTCCTGTTGGAGGTTTATGCCACATTCCATGTGATAGGATTTAGTCACACTAGTTTTTCCTCATGGCCTTCCATGGGCCTCAAATCATGTACTTCATGTTTACAGATGGCAAATATTTGCGAAGAGAGAAAAAAGCTGCCTCTGGATTTTGAAATATGCAGTATTATAGATTGCTGTCAAGGCTGTGTTTTTATGACCCCATGGAGGTGTGGTGACATAATCTTTCCATGATAAAGTACTTCCTCATGTAGCTCAAGATGCCTGACATGTAGCGGTGAGGTATGCTCACCTGGTGCGTCTGCCTGAGGCCATAGAAGTAGAGGTACTAGAGAGTGGTCCTTCAGGCATTCACATGCCGAAAGGTCCACTAGTAGTAGTGAGTGAAGTCTTTGACATAAGAGTTTAAATAGAGCCAAAGAGAGTATGGGTTGTTATTCATAGAGGTCAGACAAAGTCATTTACAGAAATCTGATATATAGCAGTATATGGATTTCATATATATGACATATTTTAGCTTATTTGTATTTCTCTTGTATTTCCAACTTACATTTACCACATATGTGAACTTTTCAAATATGGGGCATATATTTCATCCACATATGTATACAAACATATGCACAACTATATGTATCATTTACAATATATACGTGACCCCTTATGATGTATATGCATATAAGGCCATATATCAGATTTCCGTATAGATTTGAATAGTATAGTTGTTTTGAATGGTAATGTTTTATTCTAGGGCAGCATTTATAAGGCTACATGATACCTACATAAAGCCTTTCATAACAGCTGATATATACGTGCATACACATTTATAAAGGCTTATTCTAACAGTTGTCCTAATACTTTCTTCAGTGAAATGCATCAGAATCGACTAAAGCAGCCATTATGACAACTGAAGCCTTTATGTTAATGTAGCTTATGTCAGTTGTCATGAAAGGCTTGTGTCCAATGTAGCCTTAAGAATGCTGCTCTTCAGTATAGTGTTGCTGTTTGATATGTACGTGACTAACTGCAGAATAATTAGCCTAATCACTGTACAGCTAAAGGTGGTGTGAACAGTTGTTTGCAGAGGTTGAATAAGTTGAAATAACATAGTTTTGTTTGAATAGTATATGGCTAACTACAACATCACAGCTTGGATAGTATAAAGTCAATTTTTTACATTACATTTTTATTAGTACATTTGTCAGATGATTATTTTACTTATTTGAGTAAGTGGTACTTTAATATGGGACCTGCCTACATAGCTGGTTATGCAAGAGTTTAGTGTAAAGATTTGAAAGATTAATAATAACAATGACAAAAAGGTGTCAGTATGCACACCGACTGGTTCTAATGACATGCTGTGATTGATATCAGACCTAAAAGGATATGTGGTCCAAAGCAGAATGAAAAGAAGAAATATGTTGGATTTGCCTTTTATGTAAGCAACCTGATGGCCCATTGAGATAAATACAGCAAACACAGGGCCCTACTTTATCATGTCTTCTGAATGTGGAGTTGACGCCCATTCCCTCCCCATAGGCTGCTCAGGGCTCGGGGTGTGTATAAAGACGTAGACTTTAACCCCTATAAATGAAGCCTTGCTTTGTTTTGGCTCTAGGTGGCGGAGAGTTCGAAGGTGTGGGGTGAAGTGCCCCTGCCGGAGGATCTGGAGGCTTCTAAGGAGCAGAAGATCAGACGTTCTCTTGACATTGACAAGGACCGCGTCACTTGGAAGTGGCGTTACCTCGATGATGATGAAGACTTTGCTGCTGATGAAGCTTCAGGAGGTGCGACTGCTTGAGTTGACCATGCAATAATGAAATGTTGTTTGTAGAGCAACTGATTTCTGTTGATGTGACAGTTTGGCAAAAAATTGAATTCATCCCTTACCCCAAATATAGACAGTCAGGCAGTCTGAAGTTTGCTTTTTTACTGCACTGGACAAAAGTACAGATGAAATACAGCTAACTTGTGCCACACTGTGCACTGAGACTAAAACAAGGCGGTGATGTGCCTGAGTAGGACAGTACAGTCTCTCTGCAGCCTATTTCACAAAGACAGTTTTAAAAAATATAAACATATTAACCACGATTGATTGTTACGATTAACGATGAAAGCCTAGTAACAGATATTGCTTTTGTTAGTGGTTGTGATTGCGTGTGTTTAAAATCACTCAGCGTATACCTGGTGGGCAATATGCCAAGGCGAAAATGTTTAAAATGACCAATAACTTTGTGTCAGACTAGCAGCAGAAACAGTTCTCTGTGTAAGCAGAGCCCTGTTCACCACCAGCTTTAGTCGTTTGTTCTTTCGCACAGCAGCGTACACTAGGCTTACGTCACATAGTATCAGGTGGTATTGGATGTTGGCATCAGTGCGCTTTTATGGTACAAGTATGAGTAAATAAGCACATGATACCAGCGTTAGCCAAGGCTGGTCATTAAGGCAGTTTGCACAGTGCTAATTGGTGGGGTATGTTAGCTACATTAGCCTTGTAGCTCAAAGCCTGAATTTTGTCGATACTTTAGTACCAAACTATAGAAACAAACTTCAGACACCAAGCTGTTTGGGATAAAAGATCATTTAAATTTGGACTTTTTTGGGCAATTTCTATGGCATTTGATTGTCAGCTAAAATGTCTTGCTCATGACAGGCCTAGTTGTGAGGCCTAAGATGATATCCTGTGGGTTAAGATGATGCCATGAGGCTCGGGAGCTAAAAAGGAAAGTGCAGCTCAGTGTATGTTTGTGTTCTCTGCAGATGTTAATAGTGGAGATGAAGACGGAAGCACTCCTGAGCCACCTGTCACAAGTGAGCGCTCTTTCTTTACATTTTTTAGCCTGAACTTGAAAATGGAGACTCCATGGAGTTTATATTTAGACTGCCAGGTTGCTGCTGCTTATGCTGTATTTGTAGCGAATGGTCAATCAGGGGTCCTGTGAATCCACTGAAGTCTTAAAATAGATTTAAAAAGTTTTAAGGTCATAAAATATCTGAAAATTTCTTATTTCTGTATTATTTATTTATTTATTTATACATTTATGGACGTCCAAATGCAATGGTACTGGATAAGGTATGGACTAATCTTGATCCAGTTCCAATCATTTTTGTGCTCTGTTTACTGCACTGTTGTAAACTGACATTATCCACAACGTGCAGCAGTAAGGCGCATTTTTAGAAGATAACAGTGGTCTAAATGTCTACAGTTTGGAGCTGCTATAAGGCAGAAAATGGACACTTGTGATATGTGCAGTGCCTTTGTGTCTCCTATGTTTGAACTAGCCACTTGTTGCCTAAACATGAGCCATTGTGGCTGTTTTGGTCTGTTTTCTGCAGCCCGTCACAAGTGAGACAAGCACAGAAATGTTTTTCTGTACTGGCCGTGCCGCTAAAATGTAGACTATCACATTATGCACATCCTAAGCGGGCCTATGTCCCACATGTCTTTTGCATTTTATTTTCCCCCCTAAGGTCTACTTATAACATTTAGTGTGGTTTTATGTACCAAAAACACATTTTTACATTACCATCTTTCAACCTCTCTTTTCCCTTAGAATTAAACAGGCTGTCATTGTTACAGTTCCTTAGACAGATGATATGTATATGACCTCTGTTCTGATTGGCTTCCTATTGTGCCTCAATCAAAATGCAGTCCTTGTTGAAACACTCCTTATAACTTCAGTGTGAATGGGCGGAGTTAAACTGCTGCATGCTGAATAGGCAGATATGTGTAAACGTGTTGGTTTTTGTGACATTGCAGAAACAATGAATACAAACTGGGCTTGTTTTTTCAGCTTAGCTTTCATATGTGGCCTAAAAAAAGTTTAGAAATGAAGCAGTTTTGAAATTAACTGGTGTTGATTGACAGCTTGGTATGTCTTACCTAAATTGTGCAGCTGTATTACCTATGACAACAAAAAGATCAGATTACACTCTGTATATCCTAATAGGTCATTTTATTTATTTATTTTTATATCAAACTAATTCAAAACATTGAGCCATCAAAACTATCCAGCCAGTGGTTAGAAACTGACCACAGAAGAAGTCAAAAGTAATAACAACATGAAAAAAACACTGAGAACACACAAAGCATATGTTCCTGCTTTTTCAACCAGTCAGTTTGAATAAAATAGACATATTACAAATGTTTTATTTGCTATGTTAAGGGCTTAAAAGGTATTAAAAAGCAATGAGTTTTATTATGAACATTGCGCAGCAACCTGTCAGTTACCACAGACAATAGTTTAAGTAATGTCCTGTACTTATTAAAAGAACAAAAAACTTGATTTGAAGGACACTCGTAAAGGACGACAGCTTCCCATAAAGCGACTGCCTGTCGACCTCTTTACTAGTATGTTTTGAGTCATTGGGTTTTCTGTTCTTTTCGTTTTGAATTATTGTCTGTGGTAGTCGACCATATCTTCAGGACAAAACCTCATATCTCAAATATTAAAGTTTTTCATTTTTTGATATAATTAGAATTTACAGTGTTTCAATATTTTGTGAGAATTACTTGGAATTTCCCATTAACTTTTTTCCTTCTCCTCAAAAGTCGCCGTTTTGGAGATACAAGATTTTGTTTGCGTCAGGCAGGTAGAGATTAGGTTGAAAAACGCTGGTGTTCTCCTTAAAAAATGCAATTTCTCCATCTCAGCTGAACAAGACTGTAAAACTAGGAGGGAAATGCTTTTTGGTTAAACATGCACCAAGAAATGTGCCCCTGTGTCCAGCATCTTAGATAACTGAGCTGAACCTTTTATTTAACTTTGGAGAAATTAACCCGCTGGACCCTTAAGCACAATTATTTCTTTCTTTATTTTATCTATTTATTATAATTTATGTGGTAGCTGACGTATTACTATGATCTCCATCTGAGCTGGGTGTATGTTGTGGACCCTGGGTGAATGTTGTCTCGGGCACATCCAGACGCTTGACTCTTCTCACAGCGGCCTCGTCATAACACGGCGCTTCAGATTTGTGTTGGAGATCCAAACAATCCTCGCGCATCCTTTCATCAGATAAGAGGCCGAGGTGGAAGCAAAATAGCGTACATGAAAGGCAGCAGTAAACAATGAAGGAGTTGGCAGACAACGCAGATGCTTGTTTTGCATTCTTCCACTCGCATGTTTTGCTGCACCCCTCTTTTTATACTGTGAAGACCTTAATGCTCTCTTTCTATCTCTCTCTGTCTCTCTGTCTCTCTCTCTTCCTCTCCCTCTCTGTCTCTCTCTCTCAAGATCATATATTAAGGCTGCGCAGTATGGACAGAATACCACATTGCAGTTGTACATGATTGTGACACTGCTTGCAATATATTTAAAACGCATTGGTGAATCAGTAATGTGACATGTTTACAGATTGACCTGCATTGTTTTGAAGTAATTTACCTTTGTTGGATTATATGAATATCATAATCCATCCAAATGCCCACTGAAACACTGCACACTATAAAGGGAATTTAAGCACAGGTGGCTGTACACTGTAAGAAATAAGCATGTTGTACAGGTACATTTCAGTCCCACTCACAGTAAGTAAATAATGGTATATCAGTGTTTATGAAGGCTGGTTCTTAACCTTAAATAAGTTTTAACTCCTTCACTACCCTACATTCATTTGGGAAAAAGGACATATTTTTACATTTTCTTAACTTTTTTAAGTAGAAAACTAAAATAAAAAGCCTAAACAGGGTATGTAGGTAAAAAAAATAGATCAAACAGAATGTGGTACAATTTTGTTGCTTAGCTAGAACTACTGAAAATGTACTTGAACTTACCTCCTTAGCAACTTGAGCATACCACTCCAGCGCCTTGGGGAGGGTCCTATCCCAGCCACTTGCGGCTACCACCCTAGTGACTTGAGCAGTACCACCTCAGTGATTTGAGGGCACCACCCCTAGCAATGTGAGAGGAACACCCCTATGACTTAAGTGTACCACCTCAGAGGCTTCAGGGGTACCACCCCAATGACTTGAGTGTAACATCTTAGCAATTTGAGGGTATCGCCCTAGCCACTTGAGAGGAACCAATACAGCGATTTGAGGGTACTACCCCAGTGACTTGAGTGTACCACCTCAGAGACTTCAGGGATACCACCCCAGTGACTTGAGGGAACCCCCCCAGCAACTTGAGCGTCCCACCTTGAGCAATACAAGTAGATGACATATCTTCAGAAAAATGGAAAAATCAACTTTATCTTTGAAAAATTTGCTGTGAAGGAATTGTGTCCTTATCTGCCGTAGTTTGAGCTGATTTTAAGTGATGTTTTAACTGGGGTTTAACTGGCGTTTTTGCCGTAGTAGGTAAACAAGAGGAAGCAGTGAGTCAAACTGGTGCATGTGCAAGACAACACATTCATGCACTCATTTACACAATGCAAAGAATGCTGACGGTATATTGTGCAGCCTTAATCTGTGCATTCATTCCAACAAAGCAGGAGCAAATCTCATGTTACTTATCAGGTTGTTTGAAGACCGAGACCAACAGACCAAGAGTAATCAGATGTGCTTCTGTTTGATTTGAATAAAGACCTGCAGCCACACCGGCCCCTTGTGAATAAGATTGGTGACCTCTAAGGCTATGCTTAGTGTAGATATATAGTGTAGCTTAGTTGTATCTTTTACGAACAGGGATGCGGCAGACTGGAGTTTCCGTCTGCTGAACGTAAAAATGTAAATATTAAGAAAACAGCAATCCTTAGAGCACTGTACATTTGCTGAGTTTTGAGTCTTCAGTCTGCTTTAGACCGCCTGCTGCTGATTTTGCCTCTTTGATACTTGGAGCTTAGGTAGGAGCTCTTCAGTCTGCTTAATTGTTAGTAGGGCTGTAAATGTTCAGTGCCTGTACAAAACTCTACACATAGCTCTTAAGTACTATTTCCACAAGGCCTGAGAATTTCAGTGATCAGTATAAGTCACTGATATAAACCTAGGCAGAACCATTGCCAGGAAGGTCATAGATATCAGTTGACCACACTATACTACTGTGATAAAATGCTGCAGTATACATGCCACATAGCGCCGAGTGTAAAAATAGCCCCCAGCTGTGTCTGAGCACCCAAAGGAAATAAATTGTCTGATAACTGATGATGAACTCTACACTTGGTTACAGTTACCCCACATGCGGTTAGTTTTAAGTTAGCAGGCCTGGGGTAAAATCCCTCCAGGAGGTTTTGGATCAGTTTCTTTCTGATCACAGTAGATTTGGCTGTACAGGTGCCGTAATGTAACTGCAGTATCGTTTAAAGTAGAACAGGATATTCGAAAAAGACGTGTGCAACATATTCGTGCCTCTGATTGTCAGACGCTGCTGGAATTTGGAAAATATTACAGTCATTCACGCTTCAGTACCAGCTGGTCTATGGCTTGTTTTTCACATAAGGCTCGGGCCGTGGCGTTTTCTGAGGTGGGTGACCGAGTTAGGCAGCTTCTTAGGAGGCAGGAGAGCGGCAGTCATTTTGGTGCCTATGTTAGGCTAAGACTAGCCAACAGAAGACCAGCTGTTTCTTTGTCACTTTGTATACATCTTAACCGTTTATTTATGAAAGAGATTTTATTTATCTCTTTATAAAGAGGAATTATGAAGAGAAGATTATTTACACACAACAGCAGACGATAAACTAATGAATGAAACTGAAATGGATATATATTAATACTTGAGCCGCGATTTACTGCTGTATCGTTAATTTGTACACAGCCCGAGTGTGAACACATGTTGTGGCAACATCAAGGCACATTTTGCATGGTGTCTTCTCTCATACATACAGGCCCTAAGTCTTTTTCATTAGTAGCTTAAGACCGTCAGTCAGACAGACTG